TCTGTCTCTCTCTCAAAAATAAACATTAAAAAAAATTTAAAAAAGAAAAAGGCCCATCAGATGAGGCCTCTGGGGAGGAGGACACCCCACACTCAGTTACAGTTCCTCGCTGGGCAACTGGCCACTGGGGTGCTGACAGAGCTGTGTGGTGGGGGAAGGGGGCCATGCAGAGCCCCGGGCCCCCCCGCACGTCCTCCAATGAAACGAAATCGAACTACAGAAAACACACAGGGCGGGCCTGTTAAAATGAGATGTCAGGGGTCACGGGAGGGAAAAAGGAAGCACCTCCTCTTGGGACAGTGTGGCACCCATACCCGGATGTATGCATTTACAGCTTCTCTCTCACCTGCGTGTGGGGGCGGGGCGGGGCGGGGGAGGCAGCACCTTCTCGCACCTGGATCCCAGCCCACTCAGTCCAACACCTCCCTCTGAAGCGGGACGAAGCTGTGTGGACGCGCCCCAAAGGCTCACTGCTCCCTGTGGAGCCGGATGGAGGCGGGGCCTCGGCTGGTTCCGTGCCCCCACCACGGGGGAAGGGGGGCATCCTCGGGACTGCACCTCGAAGCCTGTCTCGTGGTCTCAGAGCTAAAGGACACTTCAAGGCCCTTCAACAAGTAATCCCGTGTCCAGCCCTCGGGGCGTCTTAGACCCGCTAAGGGGAAGCCCTCCAAGTCGCCCAAGCAGTCAGCCTCCCGCACCCAGCTCCTCCCGCATCTGCTTCGAGAAGGAGCTGTGATTTGTGATTTTCGAGAAGGAGCTGAACACAGCTGGATTTTAGGTGCAGGGGGGACTCTGTCCTTCCCTGACAGGAAAAGCCGGGCAACCTCTGCCCTCTCTGCCGGGGCTGACGGCCGGGCGGCCACGCCACGGGGTTGTTCCCTTTCATTAAACTTGTAACAAACAGGCGCCGCCGACAAGGGGACGGTGGGGCTTAGGCACGTGGGCTTGAAGGATGCGTCTGAAGCCCTCGTGTCCCGGCAGCCATCGCTAACTGACTTCCTGGACGGGGCCCTTTGATCACAGGCTGGCTCTCTGGCAGGTGTCGCCTGCAGGCCTTTTGAAAGGCGGATCCTATGGCAGGATGATCCAGAAAGAATGTTAAAGAATCCCGGCCGGTCCTGTCACAGGGCCAGAAAATCATATGTAGCTATGGCGCTGAGGAAAAGTTCCACCTCCCAACAGCTAAGCGTCACCATTCTCTCTCTTCAATGAGGCCGATGGGGGCCCCACCCGGCCTTCCGCGTTGTGTAGCCCGGTTCGAGCTCCGCTAGTCACAACAGGGTGGGGAAGGCAATTAGCAGCAGGGAAAAAAGAAAGAAAAGACAGAGCGGAGCGCACAGTGCATCTCCCACCAACCTTGGTTTTTCACTTCAGCGAATTCCTTGTTGTACTCTTCCAGAGTTTCCCGCAGCTTCTGGTTCTCTGTTTCAATGTCGTGCAGACGCTGCACTTTGAGCTGGAGTTGCTGCCCGAGGTCCAGAGCCGGCACGGGATCTGCGGGAGGGGAAAACGCACGTCACCCCCACTCTGGACACAAGACGAGCCACTTTCACGGTCACACGGAGGCTCGGGGCAGGCCAACCGGGGTGCCCAGGGAGTCGCCCCCCCCCCCCCCCCCCCCCCCCCCCCGCCGGCTCCCCACGGGCTGCCACCGCTTGCCAGAGGCCAGGGCACCTGTGGCCTCAACACCCCCTGTCCGCCCCCAAGCCCCCAGCGGAGCCCCGGGCTGCACGGCTGGCTGGTTGGGGTCGCTCCTCTGCGGCCTACCAAGGACATGTGCGCAGAGCCACCCCCCGGGGCCGCAGCGTATGGACTCGGCCTGGGAACGGCTGGGATTTGCCCACTGCTCTGGCATGGTATGACACCAGAAGGACTTCTCGGTCCTTGATCTGACGGACAGGAAGGGGATGCATGTGGTGACGGCAAGTGGAGGAGCCCCGGGAAGTCAACCCCGTACCGAGAGCCGCGCCTGCAGGATGGACAGTGTGTGCGGAGGTCCCGTAAGCCTCAAGTTTCCCATAATTCTTACGAAGCTGGAAAAAACACCTGATACTCCGAGAGCGTCTTGCCGTCACGAGATACCCTGATGGACATTATCTCACTCGAGCCTCACAGCAATCACGGGAAGAGGATGTGCGGGCCAAAGCGCCGGTAAGCGCAGGGACTTGCCCGAGGGTTCCCGGCTAGTGAGCGGACAGAAAGAACTCGAACCCAGTCTGTTAACTCCACGTGACCATCCTCCCAGTGAGGAAGGTTCCCTGGTGGAGCGGAGGACATCAACGAGGGCTTCCTACGAGGCCACCCTATATAGGGCATTATGGCTCCCCATTGCCGTCCTCCTTTACCAAGGAAGGGTGCTCCGAGGGGGAGTCAGGGCTCAGCACGTGGTGATCTGGCTTCTGCTTTTCCCGAGACACAGCTGGTGACCTGGCCCAGTGTGAGCCTGCCCAGGCCAGCGGGCCAGCCAGCAGGGGGAAGGGGGAGGGAGCACCGCACTCCTGATTATAGTAGGGAAGGGACGAGACAAGCACCCGGGCTGGCTAGGTGAGGTCCCGTGGCCAATTCAACATACAACCTGCCATCAGATTTACTTACAAAAAACTGGATTTTAACCTAAAATTAGAGATTGCAGACACACGGAATTGAAAATACGGACTCCTGGTCTTTGACTTTATCATTAATTCAGCCCGAGATGGAGAGGCGTTAAATGTTCTTCTGGCGTCGATCGGATCTTTTGTTTCTCCTTCTGCCTAAAAGGCACGTCTGGGCACCTGCTGGGCACCAGCGGAACACTCTGCCCCAGCGTTCTCAGCCCCGTCAGAGAGAAGTCTCTAAGTCCACTGGGCTTAGAAGAGATTATTGAAGATATTTCTGGAATGGACGCCAGCATCACTTGTGAGGTGGCTGCGAAGATTTAGTCTCTGGTTGAGGAATGCTAAACACCGAGCCCAGTGGATCCGCAAGGGTGTATATTCAAGAGCTCACTTAATTTTCAAATACCAGAGTCATTAATTTTTCAGACCACCCTCAGTTCCTGGAAGCGAGGGTAGATCTCCCGTGCCTCAGTCGGCCAGTCCGCCGGGAGCCAGGAACTCCGTGAGATGCCAACGCCTTTGCAGAGTTTACAAAAGGCAGGCTCTGGGATCTGTCCAGCACAACAGTGGGCCTGCGCGTGGGGCTTAACATAACACTGTCCATCACGTGACGCCCCTGGCCACTGGGCATTTATTCTGTGTGTATATACAGTTTATGACTACACCACTTTCTCATTTGTGGCTTTTCATTCTTATTTTAATCAGCATTAAAATATTTACATTAAATTAGGTTTCAAAGCTATTTTGGGGAAAATGGTTCCTTCGAAGTAGGGGTAGCAATAGCACTAGAGACTGAATTCCTCAGAACATTCCAGGTGCAGTTTTTTGGTTGTGTTTGTTCATTTCAAGATCTTTCCAGGGTACGCTCCTATGCGCCCCACACTCCCCCAACCTCTACCTTTTTTACCCTTCTTCCTATGGCCTCACACTGGGCCACTGGCCTGCAGAAAACAAACAGTCTGCCCACAGCCACCTTCGTATACAACTACAATGTGAACTTGACCCCGAGGTCAGAGAAGGATTGAGAAGAAGGAGCACTGTTGCACTTGGATAACATTCTATTAACGTTCGCGCACGTAGGCTTTGTGGCACAACAGCCAGCACAAATTATATTTTTGAAGAGCCAAGCTAGTATACTGCCCTTTCCTTCCCTAAAATTTCTGTCGACAACTTTTCTAGCCCATTCCTTTTAAAAGGCCAAGACCCACTGTGTCTGCTTCGAATAGAAAATCGCTTCTCTCGTTCGATTGAGCGAGGAACTCAGTGACATATAAAAATAACATGCACGTTATCGAGTGAATGGTAACTAGACCTTTAGACGAATTTTCAAAGCCTTCTATTGTAAATGAAAATTCTGGCAATCTCATAATTATTCATTAGGCATGTATATTTAATTTAACACTATTAAAGGTTAATGCCTAAGTAGCAAAACTGGTCACAGAATAAAGAATGAACCGAATGTTCCAACATCCCCGTGCATTAAGCTTCAAACTTTACTACAGTACAGCTGGATGGCTATATGCCTACAGCATTTGAATATTGTTTTGGATTATGTAAAAGGCGTTGCTAAAGTACCTCTTAGGCTTAATTTTTATTACTTGTATTAAAGGAACAGCTAATTACCACATGACAATATAATGACTCTAGCATGTTTGGGCTGGAGACCAAAACAATGAATCCCGACATGCCAAACCCCAACCTGCATGTTAATCTAGGGGAAATCATGGCTTTTTGTCTTGTTAATGACTCCCGGTGCCATTAAACCCCACACAAGCATTGTTGGGTCTCATTCTGAACGTCACAAGCCTCCAACCTCAGCAGCTCAATTAGGGAATTGTCTGGGGGAGGCCAGAGAACACACCCAAGCGAGGAACAGGAACACAGCAAATCCTGCAACCCGGCTGCCGGGCCTCCTCCAACTCAACACGCTTTACCGTCAGTTCCATCCACCCAACGTGACAAACTTGCCAAGTGTTTTACAGCCACCCAACAGTTAATTCCTAAAGCACTCTTGGAGGCATTGCATAGCTCATCACGCAGCCCCGGACTCAGAACGTAACTACAACAAACAACAACAATACCATCACCTGTATTTATTCAGCACCTTCTCCCAAGTACTTGTAACAGGACCTCATTAATTCCAGCATCACAGTCAGAGGGGAAAGGGGGCGCCGGCATCCCACCCGGGGACAGGGGGAGGAGAGACGCCACCTGGGCAAACAGGCACGCACAATTCTAGTTAAGATTTCTGCTTCCCGAACCACCAGTCACCTAAATTACACTGTCTCGTCGAGTACTAATTTAACAAGTATTTCCTACTCATCTGTCTGCGCCAGGCCCGGCCCAGGTGAGGCACTGGACAGGGCATTCAGCTGATTCAGCTGGGACCATGCCTCACAGTAGAGAGAAACCAAGTTCACAAATGACAAAGGGAAAGCAAGGAGGGCCACCCGGAAGATCAGATGAGGGGAAGACCACTCCCAGATGGAGAAACTGGCAAAGGTAAACTTTTTTTGTATTTTTTTTTTTTTAAAGAGGAGACAGAATTTCGACCCATGGAGACCGTGGTGCGATTAGTCCCTGTGGAAGATGCAGCAAAGGGATGATCAAGGAGCAGAGAAGTGCCAGGCACGGCCAAAGGAACACTTCAGTCCGAATGCAGGCACCCACGTACATTCGATGACGTCAGGAATGTTCTAGGTGCTGGCGGGGGTGGGAGGGGGGAATCACGGTGGCAAAAAGACAAAAATCCTTGCTCCCAAGGCTTGACATTCTACTGAAGTGTAGGAAACCGACAAAAAAAGCAAAACTAAACAAAACAGAATACTTTCAAGTACTGCCAAGCAGGAGTAAGAGAGGAAACGAGGTGTGGGAACGGGGAATGGGTCCTGGAGACAGACGGACAGGGAGGGCCTCTTGGAAGAGGTGACGTGGAGATTAAGATCTGTGTGGCAAAGGGGAGAAACTCTGAAGCTTCTTGGCAGAAGGAAGGGCAGTGCAAAGGCCCAGAGGTGAGTATGAATGTGGCATATTCAAGGCACAGAGGGAAGCCGGTAAGGCTGCAATGAAGGGGAGAGAGTAACTAGGGACACGTCGTCAGTGAGGCCTGTGCTCAAGGATATGAACAAAGTTAAGGAGAGAAATAAAAGATATAAAGAAGAATCAAATTGAATTCCGGAGCTGAAAACACCATGTTTGAAGTGCCCTCCTGGTGAGGTGCAGTAGGTAGCACATTGGTCTCTTAAAAATACAATGTCTGAACCAAGTCTGTATTCAACCCTACTCCCGATGGGAAAACCCACCAGAGAAGAGGCTTCTTCCGAGGTGAGCCACTGGGGCATGAGAAGAAAACTGCAGGACGTTGAACCAAGAAAAGTTTTGTCGGTTTAGTGGTGAAGTATTTAAGAGTTTTACGCTTAAAGATGAGTTATACAATTTTCTTTTGAAAATTCAAGAGTTCCAAATTAGCTGCCCTGATCGCTGATGGCAAATGGCTATCAGTAATTGCTGCCTGAGAGGCATTTCTGAAAAAACAAACACATAAACTATGTCTTTGAAGTGGATGTGATGGTTTAACACTTAGTGGCAAAAAAACCACTTCTTGAAAGATACTCATGCTATAGTGACAGCATTTTAGTAGCAGATATTTGGAAACACTCTCATCATTGTCTAAACTTATTCAGGGGTGCCTGGGTGGCTCAGTTGGTTAAGCATCTGACTTCGGCTCAGGTCACGATCTCACAACTCGTGGGTTCGAGCCCTGCGTCAGGCTCTGTGCTGACAGCTCAGAGCCTGGATCCTGTTTCGGATTCTGTGTCTCTGTCTCTCTCTGCCCCTCCCCTGCTCGTGCTCTGTCCCTCCCTCTCTCAAAAGTAAATATACATTAAAAAAAAATAAACT